GAATTCAAGCTCCTTATATACAATTCAATTAATTAGTAATTCTAATATTTCAAAATTGAAATTTCCATTCAATATTGTAATAACATTTCAAAATTGTAACAATATTTCAAAATTGTGCTGATATTTCAAAATTGAAATGATAGATATTTCAAAATTGTACTAATATTTCAAAATTGAAATATTGGAAAGACGATTCTTCCTTAATAAAGTTAAATAAATTACAATGTTATACAAATAATTAATAGAAATAAAAATAAAATAAAAAATAAAATAAAAATAAAACATATTATGAAAATAGATGTAATACAGATAAAAATAATACCAAGTTAATATATATTAATAAAATAAGATTATAAAAATAGAAATAAACAAAATAAAATGATAATAAAAATTAAGAATTTCGGAATTAGTTAAATTTGGCCAAAAGAGTGTCCAAATCTAATTCTGGTAACAATATTCTTTATATTAATCAACATAAAAAAACTACCCAGAATTTTGGCTATTGAGTTAAAGTATTCAAATAATTCGGATCAGTGTAAAAAATTGGAGGGGCGGAAGGGGCGGGAGCTAACCAAATTTGGTAATTATTTGCAAAAATATGCTGATAATTACCAAATTTGGTTAGCTCCCGCCCCTTCCGCCCCTCCAATTTTTTACACTGCTCCTGTTGTTTATAGACCAAAAACCAAATTGAATTTCTTGCATACTAATACTAATACAAACCAAAACTGAACCGAATTTATTTTTTTAAACCAATAAAAATTTAATTTGGTAGTGTTACCGGAATTAGAAATTCATTGGCTGAAATTCTTTAATCTATTTCATATAACATTATAATTTATTTAAAGTAGATTTCGCACTTCAAGAGCTATTTCATACTTGAAGAGCTATTTCAGGATTAAATCATTGAATCACAATTACACAAAGAAGTTTAGTAATAGCCTATTCATCTTGATCCACATAATTGAAATTTCTTTGTTATTTAATTATGCTCTTCAACTTCTTCACTATTATAAATAGGAGAACTATTATCGGGTGAATTATTATCAAGAGAATTATGTAATTCATTCATGAAGAAATCAATAACTAATGGTAAAATTGAAGGAGAGGAATTAATTATTAATTATCATTATCATTATTATTATTATTTTGATTATATACTGTATATTAATATATATTAATATATATATTTTATTTATTATTGGAAAAAAAAAATTATCTGAAAAAAAAATTTTTTTTTTGTATATAATAATTTAAAACCAAAACTAAACCGAAACCAAACTGAAAATTTTTGAATTGGTTTTTTAAAAACCAAAACTGAACCGTTTGGAGCTTTACCATTTAATATGTATCTATTAGTTTCTAAGTCCTTTATTTTAATCACTTCACATATTTTGAGGGAAACTTTATCCATAGATGGATATTTAGAAGGTAGCTGTCAAAAATTTATGAAATTCAGTCATTAAAGGTTTTACATAAGTTTAGTTTAAAATAATAATAAAACTTTGTTGTTTAAGTAGTCAGTTGGCAGTGTATGTATCCATGATTTTTAATGTCATAAATCATTAAAAAAACCAAATATGAACAATAAAACCTACCAAATTATATTTTTGTAACCAATTATTTATATCAAACTCACTAGAGGATATCTCTTCTAAATTTTCTTTATCACTAGATAAGAAGTCAAAACAACATCAGGAGGTTTAAATGTTAATAAATTTTGTAATTTTTACATAAAACTAGAGTGATGACAAGTGATGAGCAATAACCACCACCACCATCCTTAAAACACTTACCCAGCAACATCGGGAATAAATCCTTTGCTTCTTCTATTGGTTTCTTTATGTTTTTGTGGCATTTTTTTTAAAATAGAAACTAGAGTAACAATGAGTGGCAGGTGATAACCACCACCACCATCCTTAAAAAATTTACTTGTGTTGTTCTTTGTTGGTTTCTTGCCTTCTTTTTTTTTTGTTTTGATTATACATTTTTTTTTAATAAATTAAAATAAAAGAAGTTTGTGATTTGATCAACATGTACACATTAATTATTTATCCTATTGGCTTTTTTTTTTTGGGAGGACAGATGCAAATTGATTGATTTTTTTTTTTTTGGAAAAACAATTTATTTTTTGACAGTGTCCAAGGTGACAAAACGTGAGTGTTGTTGTTTGGTTTGGTTTGGGTCTCCTAAAGAAAATGTGTTAATAACTAACCAGAGGTACTTTTTTTTTATTTGTATTGATTGATATTTTTATTTTAGCCTATAAATATTTTAATTGGAAATCAAAATGTGGAGCAGGTCTTGCTGGGTAATTACAAGATAAATAGTCAGGACATGAATTCTCTTTTACAGATGATGTAAAATCAGAGCAGTTGCGATCTCAGATTAACCCTACTAATGAATAAGCCTTCACAGCTGTTAGCACATCATCCACACAATGATCTATTATTCCAGTTTGGAACATTTCTGTTCCACCAGAAACTTCCACTTCAAAAACAGAAGCAATTGTTCTATTCAACCCATTATAACCACTTGTTTTTGATGAAATTAATGATTTCTCAATATTCAAAATTTTTGGTTTTATGGTTTGGTATAAATCATGATAATAGGACACAGTCCCTATGAACATCAACGCCATATCTCCTGATAATCCTTCAGAATTTCCAGGCTTTCTTTCAGCAGTCAAGATGTATTTGCAGCTGTGGATAGCAATTCATCATCAAATCTTAACTGCATCAAGGGAATTCAGAGGTGTGAGTGGTTCTACCACACATCTTTCACCAAAGACAGCCCCAGCAATCCCTAGCCAGGTAAATCAAGAATATTGGATGGAGAACATAACAGTCTGGAGGCCTTTTCTGACTAATAAATCTAGTGTATGATGCACAAACCTGCCTGTAAGGACATCCACTGCCATCTCCAAGTTCATTTTTTATTTCTCCTAATAACAGCAGATGTTTAACATGATTGACATTAAATTGTATATGCAAATCGGCCTCACTATATGTCCTCCAAGTGGTAAATGTGTCAACAGGCAATTAAAATATTTTGAAGCCATGATGTGAATTTTGCAAGCTGATCATCTTCAACCTTATAAAACTCTTGCATGTCTAATACAAGTTTTCCAAGTGATTCATTTTAATAGATAGAGAGCAATACTTATCTATTTATATTTAATCATTGTTGACATCTTCATTTTATTGTTTTATTTTCATTGTTGTTGTTGTCTTTGTTGTTATTATCTTTGTTATTCTTAGTTGTTATTAACCTTGTTGTTGTTATCGTCATTGCCATTGTGGTTATGGTAGTGAATGTGGTGTTTGATAATGATTATAAAAATTTATTATAACATATTGATCAACATTTCTCTGATTTATAGACGGATCATCAATTAACAAGGGGTTTACAAGAATAAATAAATAGGGAGGATCACAAAATAAATTATTTTTCCTGACTACCAATTGTACACTCACCTGCCAAAAGTATCCGGATACTTTTGGCAGGTGAGTGTAGTTCCTTATGAATAATAAATCTGATGTTGTTTGCAGGCGTCAGATTTAATTAAAACTTTCCTGCCACAAACATTGCAAATGGGTGCTTTCACACCATCCCATCCCTATGGATTTTTTTCCACAGGCGGACACTTAGATGTTGGAAGGCTTTGGATCATAAGGGCATTGATCATTGACATTTGTGTCATGATTGCTTTGTGTTATCACTAGTATAAAGTTCGTGCCTGCAAATGGTTCAAACATTCAGCAACTCGGAAAGTTACAACCCGGGTTGCTGTCTTGTTTGTGGCACGCCTACTTACCAACAACCCTACCCCCAATTTAAATAACAAATTCGGCTGGTCAAATAAAAATTAAAGAGACAGAGAATTTATGAAAATAATTATGCAAAACAAACACTATTTTACAATTTTCCTCTTAACATTAGAGCCCAAATGCAATTTCAGGGTCACCAACCCTGCTCTGAATTGTAACCTCCTGTGCTTGAAATGAGTTGCACATTCTCTTAATATTCCTCTAGAGTTGCAACAGCTCGGTCACCATAACTGCACTTAATATTAATCGAGTCTCAGTCTTAACATTAATATTGATATTAAACGAACATATATTTACAACAGAACAAACACTTTTCCAAAATCGGGCGAAATTGCAGATCGGGAGAAAACAGAGAAACGTTACGCAAAATGTCGAAATTACGACATTTAGTTAAGGAACCGTAACACGGCAACCTTTCTTTTATGTATGTTAGATATTTTTGGCTTAAAGCTTAGGTTTTGCTTGTTATTATAAACTATTACTATTACTCCGCTTATTATTATAAGAAGGTTCGACGGAAATGGTTTTTAATTTGACCTATGACAGATAACAAAGATAATTAATTCGATTGAAAGAAACTTTTTGACGCAGGTAAATAATATGATTCTATTTAATTGTGATTAATGAAAGCGCATTAATTACATTTTTTGTAAATAAATTGATTTGAAAAATATTCTGCTTAAGGAATTTTTATTCAATCTTTTTTGATTTATATAAAAGAATGTATGCGATATGCCAATCACCTATAAATTTTTTATAAATCACATCAATAAATCATACACAAACATGGATAATAATAAATATTAAAAAGACATACCACCACCACTACCACTCAATTTTTGAATATCTTCTTGTTTTACAGTTGAAACCTTATCGTCATCATATTTGATCCATTCATCAGCTAAATAAATATAAATGATAAATAATATTAATTATAAAAAAATCACATTTGATTAACAAAATATAATATTTATTACATACAATTATCATCTTTGCGCACCCAAGCAATATAATGTCCTGACATTTTTTCACACATTTTAAAAATATTAATTAATTTCTCACAAAAAAGAAAATGAGATGGATGAGATGAGAAAACAAACCAGAATCGGCGCTTCGTCCAGTATGAGTCAAGACTGCACAAAGGTCATACAATCCTGTGAAATTGGATCCAACATCTTTTACCAAATCTGGGTCGATTAATTTTTTAACCTCTTCAATACCTGACTCATCTTTTTTTTTTATTTCTTCTATTTCCTTTTGATCAGAATTTTTGGTGAGCTTTTTCATTCTCTGTAATAACAATAATAAAATAAACATTAAAATTTAATAACAACGTAATTTTTATTTTCCATACAATTTATACAATTATTTTAATTCTCAAATAATAGAAACCTTAGCTTCTTCCCTTTCTTTTTCCAATTCAATCAATCGATTCTTTGCTGGTGATAATTTTTTCTTTAATTCATCTGTACAAAATTCTGTGACATCAAATTCAAAAGGAAATATAACCTTGCGCAAGATTTTTGCTCTCATTTGTTGTTGACTTTTCCAAAAAAACCTCACAAAATGAACCGTAAGGTATGAAGGCAGACGACTAATACGTGACTTTTTAGTATATTTAGCTTGTCGATTTAGTGTAGGTGAATGTTTTTCAAGTTCTTCATCTAATGCCTAATTGTTTAAAAAAGTTTTCTTAAAAAATCATACATAAATAAGTTTAAAAATAAAAAATCATTTACCTTATCAATACCATTTATCATGTAATTTATTTCTAATAACATTTTTTTTTTAAAAATAAGTGAATTTAATAACCATACAATTAATTAGAATACTTATATATATATATATTTTAAAAAAATACTTGCTTTCGTCAATATGACAATTTAACTTTTTAAATGGTTCATGTGAAACAACAGGTTCTTCATCTAGTGCTGCTTCTTTATCATCCCCATCATGTTTTAATTTTAAACTAGCAATTTTTATTTGCATTAATTGAAAGTTTTATTTAGTTAAATTAATAGATTTACTTTAAATACTTACACAGAAGTATATTCACCAGTCATATATTTCTCAACAAATGAAGATTGCGTACTAGAAGTTGATGATCCTTCTTCTGCAGCAGTATTTTGAGGTAAAAGAAGATTTTGACCACTCAATGAAGACACAATTTGAGACCAGCATTCTTCGGCATCTTGTTGCATAAATCCGTGATTATTACGCTGTGCAAATTGAGGAAAAGCTGTTCGTAATGTCTAAAAAATCATCAAAAAATTTTATATATGATACATCTAAAAAAAATTTTATATATTCAAAATAATTTTTTTTAATAACTTGTAAAAAGTTCCATGGTGAATATCCTTCAGTTGTCAGATTCAATTGGTTGTAAAGTTCACATAAAGACATGACCAAGTTTCTTTGATTGTCTTGGTCACTGATAGTAATCTTAGATCTTGGGTATAAATCTCGTTAAAGTTTTATTTTAAGATTATTTGTATTTGTCAATTCGTATAATTGAAAAAAAAGTTACCTATTAAGTGATTCTTGCAATTCAGGAATTACGCGAAGGCATTGCAAGGTAGAATTCATATAACATGTGTTCCCAAGGTTTGTCAAACCGGATGGTAATTTTAGCTAAAATTTCAACAAAAAATTAAAATTAAAATTTTCTTTGGTTATAAAACTACATGTGTGTTTATGATGAAAAATGATGTTAACATCAAGACACATTGAATGAAACATACAGTTTCTGCTAACTGTTGGTCTGACATATCTTCAATAAATAAAGTTTTTTGATGTGGCACTTCTGGCAATTCTCCAATAGTTCCCGTCATCTAAGTCATGTTTCTTAGTACTATTAATCACCCATTAACCATAATCAAAATTTTATTTATAATTTACCATAAATTTTTGTCCCTATTACATGTTAAATAGAAAAATCAAATGTGTTTAGTATTTAGATTCTTGATCAAATTCTCGAATCAGAATTTATAAATGTTTTCTTAACCTCTTTGATGTTTAAAGTATTAAAATCAGTATCATCCTGTATGTATGTTTTTTTAAAATAAATATATAAAATTATAATTTAGAACCAATTTCTTTTTTATTTAAAAAAAAAAAAATAAGTAATAATATCGGACCTTTAATAATACTCCTTTAGTCATAATTTTTTGTCTTTCTGGAGCTACTCCTGTCATTGTATAGATTTGAGATTTAAAGATTTCAACTGACTCATCTGTGTCAACTTCCAACTCATGCTTCTTTTTACTCCAATTAACAACAACTTGAATAAAAAGATAAAAAGTAAGATACTTAAAGTTTTGAATAAATTATGAATTAATTGTAATGAATAAAATAAATAAACCTTTAACCAACGGCATATTTTGTATATTAAATTGCTTGCTTCTCGTTTAAATGTTAAAGTAAATCACGTGGTAAATTATTATGCCAATCGGACTACAAAGAAATTTCTAAGGTGCACGAAATTTAATTTTTTAAAAATGTATTTTTCAAGGGTATTTACTATATCATTGCATCTTTTATTCTTTTCAGTCATTTCAATATTGGTAGTTGTTCTATAATTACCGTTAAATTAATAATTTGATATTATTATGTATTAAGTAAATGGGCGAGGACAATAAAAACAAGGTCAATGTCAATACCATAGATATTGATATTGTTCTATTGTCCACGCCTCAAATAAGATAAATAAAGATTTGTTCCCATTGACTCAGGCACAGTGACTCATTAGTGGTGATCAGCTAAATGGAAAAATGCCAACGCTAATTTTAGCAGTTTCCTTGACAATGAATGATGCGATTTCCATAAATTCCAGGGCCACGTCCCCCCTGGAAATTTAATATTAGCCTTATGTATAAATACAAACGTTACACATCGAGTTGTTTTTATTTCCAATTGTCCAGTTTTCCATATGAGAGAAATCTTTCAACAGTCACGTTGCTTTTCTTACACTTCTCATAATTCCTCATCACTAAAGATATAAGTTTTGCTCCACATTCATACAAGATACTTGGGCTATTGTAAACAAAAAGAGGCATCGATCAATACAAAGGTATAAATCTCTGGTCATTGACAAAAGCATGGCTTCTTCAAAACCTCAGAAACTGGTTTTCTGGCAGAATTATTGCAGTTTAATATTAAGCTTATTTTTAGGAAAAATTGTTGGATGGCAAATTTCAAAAAATTATTATAGCAAAAAAAATATCACATGAAAATTTTAATAATCAATTTGCTTCTCATTGAATTTGATAAATTAATTAGAATATCATTTGATATGTTTTCCTAAAAATCACTCCAATTCTCCAATGTCCTTTCTACGTTCCTCCTTTGACTCGTCATAAACTTGACTGGGATAAGGTATTCGATATTTTATTTACTTTAAAATGGAAAATTAAATATTTAATTACTTAGTAAAATACTTTTTTTTATATAGATTTTAAATTATAAAATTGGTCAAGAACTTCAAGAACATGCAAATAAATCTTATGGTCAAGAGCCTCAAAAGGACGAAAATCAATCATAATAAAAATAAAATCTTTTGCATTATTTAACCTCTGTTTACTTATAATTTCCATTTATTTAGTTGAATCAAATTTTTAAATTTTGTTTTATTGTTTATTTACCCTAAAGATATTGATTTAATTATTTATATTAATATTAATATTAATATTTAATTTTTTTTTTAATTAAAAATTTAATAATCTGAACATTAAGGAAAAACACGTTTATTATTGCATACATCTATATTTAATGAGCATTTTTATTTTCTTCGGCTTCACTTTTCATAAATTCTTTAATGAACAATTCCTCTTCAACTGAAGACGCATTGATTGGTGGACTGGAAGTAAACGGATCAGGTTTTTTTGCCTTAGATCTTCTGATTGCTAGGAAAGCAACCAATCCAACTACCGAATAAGTTCCAAGTGTTAACTAATAAAATAAATAATTATTAGATGATGAAACAAAAAACATTTTTTTATAAAAATTTCCACTTACATATTGAGATGCAACTTTACGACCAGCGATCACATATGCTGCACCCATTCTTGTAGTTATTTGTAATATCTTATTAGTTATTAATTAATAATCGTATTATAGATATTTGCAAATTGCAAAAAAATAATTTAAATATTAAAATTTTTTTTTTCATATTTGTTGGAAATCTACATCTTCACCAAATATGGAGAATTTGTAGTACGGGCATCAAATCTATAATACATGTATATGTATTTAATTATTATTAATATTAATCGAATTCATTTTTCTTACAAAAAAAATAATGTCAAAGCTTTTATCAAATAAAACTTTTAGATTAATAACAACAAATTCACAACCGAAAATATCATTTGGTTTTTCATTAAGAAAAAGGTTTACCACCGCTACATCACCTGTTTTACGAGCCACTCCACTTTCAACACAAACACAAACTCTTGTTACCCCTTCACCGGGTATAATAAACATCTTCAATCAATATATACTTATTTTGTTTTGATTTATTCTTATATATATATATTGTTGTTTTACTTAGAATTATTGGGATTTGAAACACAATCAATTAAACATGCAAATCGACCAATTTATCTTGATATGCAAGCCACCACTCCAACAGATCCACGAGTACTTGATGCAATGATGCCATACTGGACACAACAGTATGGTAATCCTCATTCAAGAACTCATGCATATGGTTGGGAGTCTGAAAAGGCTGTTGAAAAAGCTCGTGAAGTATATATATAAATATCCTGTAACCTTTTTAAAAAATGTTACTATATTCAACAATAATAACTAAAAAGAAGATTATTTTAACACTGTCTTTTTTTCTTTTGTTTTAATAATAGCATGTTGCTAAAATTATAAGAGCTGATCCAAAAGAAATTGTTTTCACATCAGGAGCAACGGAATCAAATAATCTTAGTATTAAAGGAGTTGCTAGATTTTATAAGAACAAAAAAAAACATATCATCACAACACAAATCGTAAACATCAAAATTTTCAATAATATATACATGTATATTGATTATAACTGTTTTTCATTCATTTGATAATTTATTTATAGGAACATAAATGCGTACTTGATTCATGTCGTGTTTTATCTGAAGAAGGGTTTGAAATAACATATTTGCCAGTTAAATCTTCTGGTCTTATAGATCTTGAATTGTTGGCAAAATCAATTCGACCTGATACATCACTTGTGTCTATCATGACAGTAAATAATGAAATTGGTGTATTGCAACCTATCGAAGAAATTGGTAAAATCTGTCACGACAATAAAGTATTTTTCCATACAGATGCTGCACAAGCTGTTGGCAAAATACCTTTGGATGTCAATAAGATGAATATTGATTTAATGAGTATTTCAGGTCATAAACTTTATGGACCAAAAGGGATAGGTGCTTTATATGCAAGAAGGAAACCCAGAGTTAGGTTAGAAGCTTTACAAAGTGGTGGAGGACAAGAGAGAGGTTTAAGAAGCGGTACTGTACCCACACCTTTAGTTGTTGGATTAGGCGAAGCTTGTCGAATTGCAAGTGAAGAAATGCAGGTAAATAAGTTTATAAATATCTAATTTTATACTATGAATAGATTGTTTGTTTATTCGTTTATAAAGAGAATATTTATTAAATATTAAATTATTGGTTTTTTTTTTAATTATCAAAAATAAAAAAAAAAAGTATGATTCAGAACATGTAAAAAAATTATCTAAAAGACTGATTGATGGCATTATGTCAAAAGTTTCTCATATTATTCGTAATGGTGATCCTGAATCAACTTATCCAGGTATCGAAAATATATTGTTGTTTTTCTTCTTTTTTTTTTATTAAAAAAAAAATAAATTATAATTAATCAATTAACTTTTTATATATAGGCTGTGTAAATTTGTCATTTTCTTTTATTGAAGGTGAATCCTTATTGATGGCACTTAAAGATATCGCACTTTCATCAGGGTCAGCATGTACATCAGCATCGTTAGAACCATCTTATGTGTTAAGAGCATTAGGTTCTGATGATGAATCAGCACATTCAAGCATTAGATTTGGTATTGGAAGATTTACAACTGAACGAGAAATTGATTTTGTGATTGACAGAGTGACAAAACACGTTGATAAATTGAGGGAAATGTCCCCACTTTGGGAAATGGTATTATTATCATTATCATTTTTGTCATTTTTTATTGTCATGTTTCGGATGGTTAAATTTCTTTTTTTTTCTCTTTTTTTAAATAGGTTCAAGAAGGCATAGATCTCAAATCTATCCAATGGAGCCAACATTAAAAGTAATAATTGTATTATTTAATTATTCAACTATGTATTGCTCAATGATGTTGATCAATTGCTTCGAAATTATATATGTGTGTGTTAATAATAACTATTGTATTTATAAAAAATATCTCTCTTTTGTTAATAAATAAAAGCTTTAAAATGATTTCTTGTTTTCTTTAATATATCATAATTCTGCAGTCATCTTTTTAATTTATTGCGTTGATACAAACACACAATGCAAAAAAAAATTTAAAGTAATAACTAATAATGGAATAATAATTGTTTAATGAAGTTTTCAATTGTCTCGTTGTATGCTGCTAAAAAGATCCCGGCATGATTTTCACGCATATGACGGAAGACAGTGTAGATATTTCCTATCTGCGCTGACACGTCCATTCCGTAATTTTGTTGATTTCAACACACCTTTGGGGCATATGAGGATTAGAGGTTGGAATCGACTAAAATAGTCGACTATTTTAGTCAACTAACTTTTTTTTTAAACAACTAATAGTCGACTAATACTAATTATTATTATTGTCTGGCCAATTATAAATGAAAAC